TATAACGAAGTAAAACCTCCAGCTCCAGAGCTTCGTCATATCGAGGTTGCTCTTGAAGTTTCCATTTGCCTTTATTTATACGAGTTAAGACTCAATACATGTTTTTATTATTTTTCAAATCCATTAATTTAACAGGATAAACAATAATTTTATGAAATATTTGGTAATAAATACTTGTTACTATGTTATAAACAGACTTCGTTGTATTAACAAATATCGTCATAATCGACTAATACATTGTATAATAAGTTATATTTTTAATAAAATTTTTCGATAAATGATTTTAACTATGTATGTAACTAATTTTTAATTATTGTTATTAAAAACGGATAAAATTAATAAACTTTGGATAAGTAGTTATATTTGAAATTTGGATAAAAAAAAAAAAAAACAGAGAAACAAATTTTTTTAAGTGAAAAATTTATTTGAAAAAAAAGAAAAAAATATTTGTTATATTTTTTAATCGGGTAGCTAATATTGCATTAAATTAAAATCAGATGGAATTTATGAAATTTTACTATGCATTGCTCAGAAGTTTTAATCTGGTAAATATTTTTTATACCGTATAAGCGCGAAATAACGCTCGTGGGTGTTATTTTGAAATCGGGTCCTTCAAAAATAACTTATATGGTCTCGAATTGGCGCTCATGGGCGAATTAACGCGCATCCTAATGTAGCACATAATTTATTGTTGCACACTCTATAAGTGCGCACTTTCCCTATTACTATAACATATCGGCTGATTTACACGCAATGAGTTAAATTCTGGTCAAAATTGGTGATTGACAATTTTGGGAATTATAACTCTTTGGTTTATATTTTTAGACTGTCAGATCAGCCGATATGATAATAATAATTTGATCGGTCTAATGTAATTATTTGATAATATGTAGATTATTCTACATAAATGAATATTCTATAAATGCACTTTTACCTAACAACGTGCATTTGTTGAAGGTCGACTGTATTGAATTTAGAAAATCTTCTCTTCGAAATAACGTATTCGAAATAACGCGCAATTGGGCGTTATTTCGCGCTTATACGGTAGCAGAAATTCAAACTACACAATGAGTGGAAGTGTAAAACACAATAATTAAAAGTATATTAATAGTTATAATCCCGTCTTAAGAATTTATTCAATGAATATCTTAGATATTCGAATATTTAAATTTTCATTGAATATTTAATGTATTATTCACTAGACAGATCTCTAATTAGAGTTGCATCGGACACCCCAATATCTGTTAGTGCTGTACTCCTAATCAATCATTGACTTTATTAAAATTTTCTATATTATAGACTAAGATTAATTAAATATATTATTAATACTATATATATATATATATATAGTATATATATATTGTATATAATAAATAATCAGTTCAAATAATTTGCAAAATTTATGTATAAATATTATTATATATAGACAGAAATACTATATGTATATGTATGATTCCTATTCTTAGCACCAAGACTGTATCGTTTATATTCTTTTAAATTCATACGAAATTATTTTGAAAATTTTTAAACTACTTGAATATATAGTAGTTAGTTTAGGATTAACAGTTACAGATATGACTGCCCGAAATATATAATGCCCGATAGGGATTTTCCAATCCGAAAACTTTTTAAATACCTATAATGAAGCTTTCGTAATACCAGCAGTCGATGAGTTATCTTTCTAGATAGCATAATTTACTTCGAAGTTCTCTGCCTCATTTCATTTTCATACAACCGAATACACTTTCCCACCCAGTTTCATCCACTTTCGCAATAATTGTGATAGCATTTCTGAATCGTTAAACGTTGTATTCATGCCTGTTTAAAATAAATCATAATTAGCGCTAAAGTTAATGTAAAGTATTTTTGCGTACCGTATAAACTCGAAATAACGCGCGGGGGCGTTATTTCAAATTTCGGCCTGAATTAAGCTTAAGTTAGGCAGAAATTCGGAATTACACCCCTGCGCATTATTTCGAGTAGAGATGGGCAAATCGCGGTTTCCCGCGCGTCACGCGCGGGATAGGATCACAATTCTGCGGGGTTCTTAATTTTTTGCGTCTAATAAAAAACATGCAAAAATTTTTGTTGAAAGTCAATTTTCTTGTTCTATTGTAGATTTTCTAAATAGTGGCATGGGCGTTATTTCGAACTTCGACCAGAATTAAGCTTAATGCGGGCCAAAATTCGAAATAACGCACATGCCCAGGGTTGTAAATTTATTGGTAAGTTATCGATGAAAGTAATCTTTAAATGAGCATTTGGTAACTTACTATAGTAACTTACCGTAATTTAATTGTAAGCTACCACGATAAGTTACCACTAACAACCCTGCCATGCCCGCTATTTCGATATTTACGGTAAATATGTTAATGCAGGCCAGATAATATATTAATGCTAGCCAGATGATGTGGTAATGCCGGTCAGATAATTTTATTTTGGGTCATATTAAAAATCCCGCGCGTGCCCATCTCTAATTTCGAGTTTATACGGGTTATAACGCATATTACTGTGTGTTCTTTCGAAAATCGTAACGCCCAGAATGACATATATGTCTGGATTAATGCAATTATATAAATGCTTTCTGGTTCTGGTAAAACTATAAATCAGGCCAATCCTAACCTAAACCGACCAACATTGTCGGCGAAGGTTTATACCATGTTTGGTTTCCCTATGCTGAACGATCTGATCAGTCTTTAACCCAAAATAACGCACATGCGCGTATTTAAATGACGCACAGATGGGCGTTATTACCGTAAACGGTTATATAAAAGACCCTTTCACCAATATTAAGACCTATATTAAAACCCGGATCTAGTAAATGGTGGAGAGTTTGTATAATGGGCAGCCTAGATTTAAAAAAGATCTGCGTTTGGCTATTGTATATTTTTAGATTCAAACCCGGGGTCTAGTAATGGGGGTTGGATATCTGGAGGGGGTCTTGTATATGGCAGTTTACGGTACGCGGTACGCGAAAATATGATACGAATTTTAATCCAACCTAAACCAAAAAATGTTCCATAGCATGTATTGATCAGTGTTTATGCATGAAGGTTAAAAGAAGAAATAGTACAACTATAGATTCTGAATAACTCATTCTTTCCTGTATTTTATTCTTATTATATTAATAAAATTAAAGACTGGCAGTCTGATTTCGTATGAATAGTGTATTTTTTGAAATTTATTGTTATTGATGTTACATATATATAATCGAAAATTTTGGAGCATTATATAAAACTTCTAATTTGCATTATACTATAGAGAACTAAGTTTTTTTTTAGAAAACTAGTAGTAGTATAATGTCTTTTCATAATTCATATGAAATAGAATAATTTTAGAACCTTCTATTTCTTCTATATTATATCACTAATAGAAATACAGTAACGGTAATGGTAACATATCAAGATTACTTTTTTTTTACCCAATATTTACAAGTTTGATCTTGTGCAAGTAGATCTTATTTTTCTATTACTCCTTTTATTACTATACTGCATGTTAGATAAGTCATACCTATTTTTTTTTTTTAGCAAAATAAGTTTGTTTGGCAAAATTACGATGAACCAGAATTCAGCTAATGCTTTTGTACATAATATCTCTGGTTTTTCACAATTAACAAGGCTAACTCTCTACTCCGAGTTTGTGCATTATTTAGGTAACAAAAACCAAGGAATGATTGACTTATTATGGTTTTTCACATAACACCTTAACAACATTTAACAGATCTAAAATTTCTGTAAGCGCATCTTTTTGTTTTATATTATCATCATATTTGATGCAATTATCACACCGATTGCAAATTGGTGGAGTTGGATCTTCTGACCATGCATAGTGTTATGAACTTGCTAAAATCGACATTCATAGGAGATAAGAGGACCGGGAAATCTCTATTATAGGTCCCCGCTACAACAATATTCGAACACTACTATAAATTTTGAAAATGTGATCGACCTATCATAGATTCGATTTATTATAAACCTTTGTGAAGTCACCGACTTTATATGATTCGCAAGAAAAAAGGTCACCGACCTATCATAGATTCGATTTATTATAAACCTTTGTGAAGTCATTGACTTTATATGATTTGCATATATAAAATATAAAAAGTCACTGCTATTAGTTTTGGTCTATTACGAAAAAGTCCGAAAGTTTTAGCAGCTTATATATGATATATTATGCACTAAGGTGATCGACTAAAATGAGATTCGCTTTTATTATTAATTTTTAAAGGTGTCCGTAAAACTGATTCGCTTAATTAGAAAAAAGCCAGATTCGCAAATCATATAAATAAAATTTTTATGGCGGGGACCTATAATAAAGATTTCCCGGTCCTGAGATAAGACAGTAGTACATTACTTCAAATAACTTGCACTGTGCTTTGGCTAGATAAATTTCTCTAGCAGTTATTTGTTCATTACTATCCTCAGTACTGCAATTGGAGCATGATTAAAAATCATTCAAAGAAACTTAATGCAGCGATATAATGAAGTACCTCTCTTTACTATCCGTAATAACAACATAATTAGTGTGGATATTCTTGCTAGAATAAAGAATTACACAGCTTGACTTTTGCATATCTCATCCAGCCCATCCTGATTCTTGGATTAGACATGCTATTTATGAAAATATCGAGTATTTTTGTTTTTTAATAAAAAATTCTATTTAATATACTTGCTCATATCTATTGGAGCATTTTAATATAATACTAGATGAACATTTGGCATATCTATATCCATACCAAAGGCTGATGTTGTGATCATCAAACATTTTTGATCTGTATTCCATCTCTTGGTTACATCATTCTTTTTACTATCTGACAATTGACCATTATATATACCTCTCTCGTCTTTTTTTATTTCTGAGTCCAACATCTTAGATACACCAAGCAAAATAACCCTGGTTGTTTCCCAAGGTGGAATATATATTGGATTAATATCGCGAATGAATCTTTTCCATGGTGGATTAAACTTCTTAAATGGCTGCAAAGTTACACTGGTTGTTTCCTAAGGTGGAATAAACATTGGATTAATATCGCGAATGAATCTTTCCCGTGGTGGATTAAACTTCTTGAATGGATATGGATCTACAGAGTCATCAAGTGGAACTAAATTCCATAATTCTAATAAAATTTTAGTCAGTTCTTTTTCAGGCTCTAATTTTACTATCCTAGTTTTAACTTCCTTAACAACTTGAGCTGTAGTTTCTTTATTAATATCTTGATAGTATCGTTAATAGTTGAGAAGACATGAATATTGTATGAATAAACAATTGTCATTCTATATCGAATTTCGGATTCTCGATTATCATTTATAGGTATCATCCGAAAAACAATCATTATAAGAACCAATAATTTGTATTGCTAAATTATTTCATGTATATTTTTGAATTCGTAACATTAACTTCTGAGAAGGTGCTACATTAGCTGAAATGTGGATTATTCCACTGTTTCGAGTTTTAAGTGTGGCAACTTTTGTTTTCTTACCTTTTTTTTTTTTAAAAAAAAAAAAGCAATAAGAAAATAAAAAGCAAACCTACTGACAGAATTAATTACATCATATGCGACCAACAAATCACCAAATTCCTTCGAAAAGAGCAAAACCACCATTTTCAACATTTTCAATACCTCGTAATAAGAAATCACGAAGTATATCACGATAACAAAGAATGAATTTATTATAATTTAGAGGATATTTTGAAAATTCTATAAATTTGAAAATTTACAATGTGTAAATGTTTGGAAAATCTTGTGGCCTGCGCGGGTTTTAACATTTACATTAAATTCTTCTTTCAAATAATCCGGATCTGGGAAATATGGGGAAGTAACGAGGTAAGGGTACATTGGATTAAAGAATTCACACCAGAAGAATAAAGGCTTAAATGATATCCTTGCCATTATGAGATTTAAATAAATGATTAAATTTGAAGAAAATTGTTGTTAAAAATATTACCTATTCAATATAATATGGACAATTTTATAAAAAAAACAATATATCAGTACTACTGAAATTATATATACTTTAATTTCTGAATATTACTTTAAAATAAAGTATGATACTTATCACTGTTTTAAAATATCCCTGGACTAGAGGTTGGATCCTTTGATATCCATCATGGCTATTCAGTAAATATTCGCGGGTTTTGATGTTTACGAATAGCTTTGAACTGAATATCTGGATTTTGAATTGATACCCATCTATTATTGTAACCATGAATATTCACAACAAATATTCACGCAAATATTCATGAATTAATTATCAGTTACAAACCCTCAACTATCCATGAATTTTGTGTAACCGAATATTGGATATTCAATGAATATTCATTTTTAACCATGAATATTCATGGATCCAACCTCTACCCTGGACGAATGATACATGCGATTACAGAATCGATTCACTGAATTTTGAAAACAGTGATAATATTTTATATACACAAAATTTACCTGTTGGACTGGATTCTCTTTCGAATATTTTTACATTAAATTGTTTAATAATATTATTTTTTTTCTATTGCATGAGCCAAATTTAATCCTCCTGATCCTGCTCCATAGGTGTTTTATTTTCCATTTATTATTGTCACTTCTGTTTTTTTAAATTACTCGGTCCGCTTTATAAATGAATTTTAAGACACAAGTAGAGGTGGGATCCGTGAATATCCACGGTTAAAAAACGAATATTTGGTTACATGAATCTTCAATGAATATTAATTACACTAAATTCGTGAATAGTCTCGTGAATAATCTAATCTATTTGGTCATTTTGAGTACCCATGTAAAACAGGATGGCAAATGACTTTAAGGGTGTTCTCAAGTGCCTTAGTCAATCGATCGGAATAGGGTCGGGGGCAAATTTTAATTAATAAGAAATTGGGTTTCCGAATCAATTGTAT